ATTTATATCAAAACCAACTAAATAAAATAATAATAATAATAATAATAATAAAACATAAAAAAAATTAAATTAAATTTATATGTTTTTTTATATTTTTAAAATATTTTTTAATAAATTTATCAAATATTAATTACAATTTGCCAAATATTATTATAAATGCATTTTTTGAAAATATATAATTTGTTAAATACAATAATAAATTAAATTTTATAAATTGTAATTTTTTTATTTGTCAAATTATATAATATCAAATAATTTTAACAAATTTTATAATAATTAACAAATTTTTGTTGCAATTTTGTTAAATTTTTGAGATTATTTATTAATTAAAAATTATTAATTGTTGTTATTTTAAATTTTAATATATAAAATTTATTGAATACTGCTTTATTATTGTCAGATTTTTATAAATTTTAATTAAAGAGAATAATACAATTTTAATTTTAATATATGATATTATAAAATTAATTTACATATAATCATAATCTTATATAATAATTGAAATTCTGTTCAATAAGTAAACATCTTATTATCTTTATAAATCACATTTAAAAATCTTGTATTGTTGACAAATAAGTTAGATTAAATAAATTTATACAATTATAATTATTTTTTTTAATTATACAGGTTCAATATAATTCAATAAACATGTGACACTAACCTGGTTCCAGAATTAAAAGAACATTTTTTATTTCAATCAATTATTGTTAATCTTTTCAAAATATTTTTTTAATCATTATTAAGATTTCTAAATAGATATTTTATTAAAATTATATAAAAGCTTCCAAATTTTTTCTAGAGGAAATATATAAATATGCATAACATTTCGTCATAATTGTCTATTATGCATTTCATAAATTTTCCCAACATGCATAAGAAAATATACTCTATCGGATAATGCATTACACCTTACTTTCTTGCATATTTGGACATGAACGAACAGGTTTCTGCAATTCTTTTATCAGAATTTTAGGATTAATCAAATAGTGTAATTTTGAAGTAATTCGTATCTACTTCACCCGACTATAGATTGGCTGTGAATTTTAGTAAACTATCATGTGATAATGTTTTCATCAAACGCGGTTCTGTCACATTGAAACTAATACTGTACGTATGTAGATATTCTAATATAAAATTTAGATTTGGTTTTGGTTTTAATGAACATCGTTATTACCAAGTTTTAGTATTTGATATATTATAAGATTTTTCAAGCGTTTAATAAGATCCCCAAAAACTTGAATACATCTAATATCTTGATAACTTCACTGATAAAGTTTTACAGAAAGAACGACGCGAATATAATATATTTCTATATTTCATTGCTTCCTCTGATTGTAAGGTTTGACTATATTCAAATCACCGAATTTTTGATCAAAGTTTCATAATCTTTAACACCTTTCACTTATTACTAGGATTAATCTCACCCAAGAATATATGTCTATCAGTACTACATGAAACAACTATCGTGACAATAAATATAGATTAAAAAGATATCTTTGAATTGTATAACATTCTTTTGAGCAGTTAAATAATAACTTACTGATAGGCTCTTTCGGATGAAAATCAACTTCGTTGACAGACCCTTTGTGTCCTGGCAATTTATAGAGAATCATACGAGTGTCCACATCCCAAATAACTACTGTCCGATCGCTACTTCCTGTTGCTATTTGTGATCCGTCAGCTGACCATGCCGGCTTGATGAGATTTTTCTCAAATCCATGCGGTGCACCTTTTCATGTTTGAGCCGAATTATTAATGATGTCAATTTATCGTGTATAAATTGAATATTACCTTCAAATATTTTGACCAAGCGGTTTCCAGGTGAGAATGGTTTGACATCCCAAATTCGTACTTCAATAAATAAATAAGTTAGTTTTTAATCGATCTCTTTGGTATGAAATTTATAGAAAATAAGTACCAGTGTCATCCATAGCATTTGACAACAGATAAGATCCATCTGGGCTCAATTTGATGCCCGAGATAATATCTTGATGTCCTTTGAGAATGTAAGAGACATCCTTTTTCCTCAAGTCCCATGCCTAATAAGAATATTCTATTAGAATAACATTTTTAGTCAGTTTGAAAGCTATTAAAAAAAAATCTCACCGAAATATCATTATCAAGACAACCCGCAAAGATCATATCCCCGGCTTCACTGAAACATGTCGCTGTAATCTGGTACTGATTACTAAATGTATCTACAGCATCTTTCTGACGCAAATCCCATATCTATGGTTGTGTCACATAATAATTTGTGAATTAAATTCCCCTGAAGAATGGACAATCAGTAAACAAAATTACTCTTGCTACCTTAATTGTTCCGTCGTCACTACCACTAACTAGAATTTCGTTTCCTCGACGCGCAGCACACACACTATTGACAAATGCTGTATGTCCCTTAAATTTTTTTATCCTTGTGCCAGTAGTTACATCCCACACTCCAACAGTTTTGTCTGTGGAACATGAAAAAATCTTACTATTCAAATATTTACATATGATGTATTAAAGAAGTGTTGGTGCTATTTTGCAAATTTGAAGATTTCAATAAAAATACCTAGAATCTCGTGACCATTGTAATTCCATGATGGGACCATTATGACCCTTCAAAAGACCATAATTGAGGCAATCACCATATGTATTCCATAGTACTAATTGTATTTTTCAGAGTTGTGAATTGTCAATGATTATTACTAACAATCAATAAAGTTTTATCATATAAAATTTATTGCCTACATATGTTTCTATCAAATGATCCAGAGGCAATGTGCTGTCCTGAAGGATTAAACCTGACGGTGAATATCTCTCCCTAGATAAAAAGGTTTGTTTAGTAAGAACCGAAACAAATATGTTGTTGACTTTTTGAAACTTGAATCAAGATGACAACCTCACACCTGATGTCCATTAAGAAGCATTATGGGTGCTTGAAGTCCGGATGTTCGTTTAATCTGTATTATGTAAAGAAAACATTAGAATAACGCGATAGGACTAAAAAGAACCATCGTCCATGACACGAACTGTTTGTATCACGCTCCCACTGGAACCTGAACTTGTAACCAGGGCATTACTTGGCTGCTCCGATTTTTGTTTCTTAATTAATTGTCCAGTGTTTTGAAGCGAAGATTGTTCCTTTCTTTTATCTGCCATGGCTTCGAGATAGTAGTCCATTGAGTTACGTATGGCAAAGTTTATATCATTAAATCACGTGATTTGAGTATGAAACAACGGAGGGTAAAAATTTTGCCGCAAGCACGTGACACATAATAGACGATCGCGCCTGGCGGAGATTGAATAAATTATAATATAAATAAGAGTGAGCATTTACTGTGAGGGACCAACATAAGGTATGATCCAACGTGAGGTAATCATGTGATCTGGTTAAATAAACTTTAAGCGAAAGTTTGATCACATTAATAATCATATATTAAAAAATAAACTTTTTATATACGTATTATTATAAATATAACTTTCGATTAAATTAAATTTTTTTTTCTTT